TGTGCTCCCTTTCTCAATCCACTAATTCGTTACATCGATTTTGATTTAGAGATATTTGGTACACTTGCACGTATGTTAGGGGGCAACATCATAGAAGCTTTCCGTCGAGAAATTTAGATCCATGAAAGATGAAGGTCCACACGTCTCTTTTTTGGTAATCGAATGATGAAGGTCCATCAACACATAATTTCTTTTTATTTTCTTTTTCGTTCGCAAAAGGTCTATGGTTCCACAATAAAAGCAAGTCGTCTTTGGAAATCTGAGTCAGCTAGCTAACACTTCTGATTTCATCCCATCACCCTATCACCCTCAATGCACGTGGTGGAATGCATAACACTATATTTTATAGGTGTCTACTTTTTAGCTTTGAGAATTGTACGTGAACGATAAAATGACAACGACCGGAGACATCCATGCTATCATTATAACCAACCATTTATTTTTTTTAATCGCCGACGAACTTCTTTCTTTGCTTTCCTGAAAAGCTAGGAGCTTTTGTTCTCTGCTGCTCAAGTTGTGGGATGCCAGCAAATTTGCTATATAGTTACAGACAAAATCTAAAGTTATACTGTTAAAATTAAATCGTAAGTATTGCAATAAAGCTATAGATATCTAACTATGCTCCTGACAATATTCTTACAGTTTCAAATTTTGGTAGGTAAAGAAAAACACCTTTAGGTTATATACTCACGTGCATAAAACCATAGATAAAGAAAAATACCTATATTTGTAAACCATAGATAAAGACCAATGCCCAATTGCAATGACGATACAAATGGTTACCATATCACCGTTTAGCCTCACTATTTGTTGTAGCCAAACATATTATTTAGCAATACTTTAAGTCGTTGCAAAGTTACATTTTGTAACAATTATAATCTCTCTAAAACTAATAATTGGAAACATAAGTTATTATTAAAGCAATATAACGAACAACTTTAGTTATTATTTAAAAGAATATTTACAACAACAAAAGTTGTTGCAAAAAGATGTATTTTACAACTATATTAGTTGCTGCTTGTTTCATAAAATGATATTTAATTAATATAATTAAATAACTATAGGTCCCTGGATGTTTTAATTTTTATGGGATAATCATTGAAAAGTAATTGAAAACTAATTTTTTCATATAATCTTTTCATACAATCTTACATAATTTTTTCTAATTATGGGCTTTAAAGTACAAAAGGTAGACAACCTATCTGGTCTTCGTTTTCGGGCTGGTTTGTATATGTAAACCAAGCTGGGCCTTTACAAAATGTAACCCACTTCTAATTTTTCGCTTAAACTTCCAAAATGCTGAACCTATTTCCGGCCATAGAAGATTCAAGTGCAAAGAAGAGAGGGAGCAAATCCAAAAACAGAGCCATGACGAGGTTTGTACGATTTCACATTTGTCATTTTGGGGATCGTCGTAGGTGGATCTCACAAAAGCTAATGGAATAAGAAGGTATTTGACCCTTTATTAAACGCTAAGAATTATTTTTTAATTGTGAAGATAATATTGTAGTTTGGGAATCAAGATTAAATAGATTTGATTCAAAAAAATTTTTTTTTGAGGAATTAAATTAAGAATTTAATCTTATTTTTATTCAATTCAAAGAGATAAGATCATATAAGAGTTAGAGTACTTGTTATATTATTTTTAATCAAATTTTTATTTTTGGTGCCATAAGGAAATATAATTAAACTTAAAGAGGAGTGAGGTACATAGGTAATTCAGCCAGATTCTGACAGTATGTTACAAAACATGATTGAAGGACAAACTAAAAAGACCAAAAGGAGTCCTCCATTGAAGCGCCAAACTTGACTGGTGTCTGGTGCTGAAATCTTTATCGGTGATTTTTTTTCATCACCAATCAAATCTTTTTTTTTTTTTTGAACACTACCTGAAACACCAATCAAATTTTTATTGGTGATGAAAAAAATGACCTTTCCAAAAATAAAAGGCAAAGGTGAGCATGGCTTTCTAAGAGCATGGCCTATGGTCAGAATGACCTAAAAAAATGGAAAAAGTAAAGGTAAGAAGAATGGCGTTCAGAAAAAAAAGCAAAGGTGAGCATGGCATTTCAAAAAGAAAAAGGTAAAGGTAAGCATGACCTGAGTAGGGCAGCATCCCATTCGCTTTGTCAGTTGACTATAGACCTTAGGTTCCCGATCAGTGTTTTACTCTAGTTTTTTATTTTTTAAAAAAATTTATTAAATTAAATGTTAATATATTTTATTATTAAAAAAATTAAATTTAAAATTAAATACATTACACCTGCTACTTAATAAATATTGTGACTATCAGGTCACATGAGGGATTGCAGTGTTTTACTCTAGCTTTTGGAAGGAAAGAAATGAAGGAGAGAGAAATGGTGGAGAAATTCTCCTTTTTTTAATAAATAGTTAAATTAAAAAATAAATTAAAAGAAACATTTTTGGTCCCCTCCCTTCTAATTTTTTTTATAATTAAATAATT